TCTTTCTAACTCGATCGCTATCAATCGAGCTAAATTTTCATTCCTTACATCTGAGGAGCGCTAATTATGGAATCAATATATCCGTTTGAAAAGATATTCGGGTTTTGTCGCGACTTCTAAAGTAAATATCAGCATTTATCAGCTCTCCAAACGTTGTGTGTGCCAATTTCTTTTGTAACTTTGTCAACATCTATTTTTGCATTGCTTTTATATAGCTTTGTGAAAGTAAACCCAGTAACAATTGATGGTGATATTTCTTAATAAGGATACAAGAGCACGTACACCGGAATTGGCAGTTTCAGATCAAATAAACATGTTGCCCATTTCTCAATAGTGAAATGACATTATAAAACACTGTTGACCGGGTAAAAAATTAATTATAGTTTCTGTCACCAGAAGGAAGTTGGCGTAGAACATTTTTTTTATTAAACTGTATGCCAATTAATTGCACGTTTATTGCTATTAGTTAATATATAATTAATTAAAAAAAATAATTATCGAAAATTTAATTTTGCTATAAAACATAAAATATCTACTTTTTAAAATTAAACTACATGCCAATTTACTGCTTTTTAAATGCTCCAGCAGAATCCGTAATTGCTTCACGTCTATTGCTATTAGTTAATTTATATTTAATTTTGAGAAAGAGTGATCCCATTCGAGTAATAGCGCCATCATCAATAGAATGTAGTAACATTCTATAGGTAAAGTCATTATATTGAACAAAATTTGATTGACTCTTCAAGTTGGTACATAGAGTAGATGCTAAATGTCATAAACCCAAAAAAATAATATTAATCGGTGAGTTTTGAAATTATGGATTCTTATGAATGGATTGGACAAACATGTTAATAATTTTTGTGTTAATACATCTAGCGTCTTTTCTACGTACCACCATGAAAGTTAATAAATTTTGGTTCGTTAAAATGACTTTACTTAAAGAAAGAAAGAAAAACATGACGCTATTAAAGAATGAACAATGTACGTAATTTTTATATACAGGGTATTTTAGAAACGCTCCCGAAAACGAAGACAGACGGCAGTACCAACTATACCTTTGATGATAGGTGAAATATAAAATAGAATCTTATGAAAAAAAATCATCTTTTCACAACGTTTTATTAGATTTATTCATGCTCCATCATGTTAGTACAGCTAAGTGAAACGATAATTTCATAAAAAAAATCATGAAAATACTGAAACATAAAACAAGCAGTGAAATTACTGAATTGCAGTCAGCTGACTAGAGGTCAATGTACCTGGGCACTGAGCGATTTATCACTGAGTGGTACGAAGGGGGCACGATGGGGGAACAATCCGCCAGTATTACTGTGCCCGCATGCTATTAGGTCATGCTTCCCGTGTTTTGTTCGCTCCCAAAATACAATCGCATACACATCTTACTTTGCGACTCGCGACGATGGCGTTAAAAAGGAAGAAAAGAAAAATGATTTATATCTATTGTTTTATGAATGAACTAGTGAACGAAAAGGTAAATATAATAGGAGAAGGTGAATGTGGAAAATTGTGCAGTAAAGTTAAAAGTATTGAGGAAGAATACCGAAAAAATTACCATGTGATCGACCTGATGACGGAAGCGAGAATTTGTGGTTAATCAAATCTAATGCAATGGCGGGGGTCGTCTAGGATATGATCACAAACTGCAGACTTCCCGGAATGTTGGTGCTTCACGTCAGCTATGTGTTCACACACAATACATAACTGACACAGTCTGCAGTTTGTGATCATATCCTAGACGGCCCCCGCCATTACATTAAATTTGATAAACCACAAATTCTCGCGAAAGAACATTGATTCCTGCCAAGGATGATACGTGAGGCTATTGAAATTAAAAAACATCCTAATTGCAATAGAGAGGGAGGCTGGGTACTACCACCTGCTTGGGATCCTGTAAATCATAAAATTAAAACTAAACCCAAGCATACCGCTGCAAGACTTCAAGACACAGACCAAAATAATTAATTAGAACAGCTGAAGGTACTCCGGTTTAACACTGACATCGGGACGTTAATCACCTCAGTCCCCCGTGACCACGGTTGCTGGAAAGCAACCGAAACGTCGGGAATATAAAATAATTTAATTAAACGCGATAAAATCCGTAAAAATAGTTTTATTCAATGTGTAGTGTTCGCGTAAATATAAGAAATCATTAAGTTTTCTTGTTACAAACTACTTTATATTTTACGTTAGAAATAACAAATAATGCTCAAGTAAACAGTAGCTAGTAAAACACATATTATGGTTCTACAAAAAAAAATTAATTACTATAATATTATAAAACAATAGCCTAATACCATGTAGTACTTTAGAACGCGACTGTACCCACACTCCCTCCACTGTCGACCTGTATCTAGCTCGGTGCGAAACAATGCCTAACTCGGCCGGCTTGTGTCGCCTCATGCTGTGGACGCAGTAGGTTTCAGTTTTGACTTGGTTCGTTATTAATTTTAGTTTTTGAGACAGTTCCGTGTTGATTTTGTACTCGCATGCGCGAGCGACAGTTCAATCGTTTTGTTTAGTAAATTCTTATTGTTATTACTTGGTATTACTTGTTATTACTTGTTGGTATTATTCTTGTTGTTACGTTTTTTGTTTCTTTTTTGTTTTAATAATGCCTAACGCGTACGTTTATAATGCTCGTGAATACGGCAACATGACATTTTAGACGACCTATCGTTAGCTGAATATCGCCGCACATGGTTCCAGCATGATGGTGCACCTCCACATGTTGTGAGGTTGGTCCGTGAGCACCTTACCAAATTATTTGATGAGCGCTGGATTGGCAGACTAGGGCCACACCCTTGGCCACCTCGCTCATCAGATCAGACCTCGTTAGACTTCTTTATGTGGGGGTATGTGAAAAAAAGGGGTTTTAATAGTGAGTGTGATAGTGCTGACGAAATGCGCCAAAGGATCGTGGATGTTTTCGATAAACTACGTACGGACTGTGTCGAAGACCATACGATGATCCCCCGCCTGCATGAGGAGGCGCAACACCGAGCCCAAATCTGCCTCGAAATGAATGGAGCACAATTTTAGCCGTATCTCATAAGGCCACGGAGAATTTGGAGCGGTAAGCTGTTTCATACCTAATTTTTTGTAAAATAACTTTGAACTGATCTTAATAGGTACATAACTGAATACATCAGAATAATAAACATACCTACGCGACGGATAAAAAAGCATGCCTCAATCGTAGTTAAATTTTTTTTTTAATTTAATGTATTTGGTTTATTTAACCTGTGAATTCGAAATAAAGCGGCTAGGTGGAGACTAGCACAGTAGCAAAATAGTAGGTTAAGTAGGTAGATAAGTTAGGTATTTAGATAAGTGTTGTAAATAATTAGGTATTGCAGTATGGATTCGGCGTCAATTCCGCGCGACAATAGGGTCAATAACCCTATGGTCAGCTGATTTTATTTTAGCTGTACTAACATGATGGAGCGTGAATAAAACTAATAAAATTTTGTGAAAAGATGATTTTTTTTCCTCGGAATCAATTTTCTTCCTTCCTGCACATGATCAAAGGTATCGTTAGTACTAGTATAGATGGGATATAATATATATATATATATATATATATATATATATATATATATATATATATATATATATATATATGTACATATATGAGACGTAGAGGTAATCGTAGTTGTTATATTTTTTTTGTGTAGAGGATAGGACAGTTACTATACACTTTGGTGTTCACGAAATCTATGGTTGAAAGGAGCTTTGGCGGAAACTTGACCGGCGACGGATAGCTGCTCCTGTATTATTGTTTAAATAATCGTTTGAAGTGGATTTTGATATGTAAAAGTGGTGCGATTTTGTGTATTAAATGTCTGCGCATGTAAACTTTTAGTGGAAACGGTGAAACAATTGCTCTGATGGTTATGAGACTCTTAAGATATGGTGTCTGTCTGCTTAGGCGCCTTGAGATACCAACACCAACTTTCAGCTGCCTGCTGGTTCAAGTTTCCGTCAAAATCTCCCAAGGGCTGCACAATGTGACGCATCAACATATTGTAAAGCACTGTATTATAAAGGATAATAATTATAAATTGTATCTACAGGCTCAGAAGGGATAGTACCCAGAGCCGTAAAGCCAGTTATAAAAAAAAACTATGGTTGAAAGTTAGTCTGTGGTTAAAAGTGTAAAAATGTACGTTAGGTATATACTAATATTAAAATTAAATAATAAATATTAATTATTAATAAACTGGAGACTGTCGAGTTTAATATAATTAAAATTATTGTAAAAAATATGTTTGTTTTTCGTAAATTATCATGAGACTGTTGTGTTTAAGCCAACACCAGCAGGGATGGATAAAAAAGAAGCATAATTTATTATTTCAGTGTTTTACAAACGCCTTTTATAGATTATTAGGTACGTGAAATACTTATTTTCCAAAATAAATATCATAAATAATTCTACTGTTAGGTACTCTTACATTTGCCTGTTAATTTTCTTTCTGACAAAATAAACCAGAAGAATACTTGTCAATAAATAAATGAGTATTTTATAGGATATGGGTGACAAACGAGCACACAGTCAACCTGATGGTAAGTGGCTGCTGCGGCTCATAGGCATTTACATCTATCCTCAATTACAATTCAAAATGCAGATGCGTTGTCACCTGTGAGGACTAAGATGGAATGCCTCGTTTCCAGTAAAAAGGGTCTCCGGTTCTCTCCATTAACCGTACGAAACGCGGCACCGCTAAGCTGCTATCTTACGCTGGTATTCTGTAAGAGCGTGGCATTCTATGGGAGCATCTGTGAGAACTTCCCCATTCGAGCCGACCCATTCGTGCTACAACTATACTACTAAGTTTATATTTTCCTTACTCTTGTTATTTAACCGAAACTTTCGCCTTATTTTGCAGATACAAATCCTTCAGTTATGAAGACTGTAAATTAGGTGTAGTTTTATAATATAAAAATCTTAATTGGGACACAGGAATATAGTACGGGTACCGATGCATTTCTGGATAGATAAACGTAGTCAGTGCGCCTATAGTGGCCGCCATCGAGTGCCATCCTCCCTATCTACTGGTATGTATTATTCCATATGCCGATAGATCATATTATATGAGAAACAATATCTGGTAGCAATTTTATCTTAGAAGCTACTGTTGGTGAACTAATCAAAATGTTTATGTAATCATCATCAACCCCAGGGGTGTAACACCTGTTTGCTTATCTTAAAAAAATTCAGCTAGCTAGAAGGAGTTAACAAAAAGTGTCTGGGGGAAACATTCATCAATAAATTAATCAACAACATCCTCCAACAGTAACTTAAAATCCTGCACGGAACTAGTATTTGTATTTTTTTTATTACTTCTTATAAGCCAGTGCTTCCCACCTGGTGGTAAGTGGTGATGCAGCCTTAGATGGTAAATCACACTGTCTTGTCGTAACAAAAGCCTATTCACTCTTGCCTTGAAGACGCCGAGATTGTGTTCTGACGGAAAGATAGACGCCGGCAAATTATTCCAATCCTTTGCTGTGTACGCATTACAAAAGACGAAGCAGACCGTTTGGTTCTAATGCGTGGAATATCGACAACAAAGGGATGAAGACCTGCCGACCGTCTGGTTGATCAATGGTGGAAAGGAGAGGGAGGAATTAAGGCATGTAATTCCTGCGCACACTCACTGAAATGCATCCTATAGAATACCGAGAGACTGGCTACTCTGCGCCTGTGCTCGAGGCTGACAAGATTGGTTTCAACCAAATCAAGGTCACCAATGAGCCTCTTAGCACGTCTCTCCATTGAGTCCAATACTGCCAGGTGGCATTTTGCAGCACCAGCCCATATGTGACAGCAGTACTCCATGCACGACCGGACTTGCGCTTTATATAAGGTAAGAAGCTGCCCCGGCGTTGCCCGGCTTTGGCTCTGGACTCAATGAACCGCCCATAATTTATGTTCGGAGAAAATTCAATCCCTAACAACTGAAGGCGGTCAGTGTACTCCAAGGATACATTCCGGAAAGTAGGAGCCAAGGTGAGCGGGCTCCTTTTAACAGTCAAAAGACACGCTTGTGTTTTGGAGGTGTTAAATTTCACGAGATTGGCATTGCCCCATTCGGAGACTGCCTGTAGTGTGAGACTCACACGCTCAGCCATAGTCTCTCTTTCTGACTGGATTTGATCCCGACTGGCCCGGGCGCTTGGTTGGTATCTCTCCACAACTGTGCTGTCGTCTTTATACCCATAGGCACCGGTAATGAGCAGGTCATTTATATGCAGCAGGAAGAGAGTTGCGGAGAGAACGGACCCCTGAGGAACGTCGGCGTTAGTCGCCACAGTATTGGATGAGCAGCCATCAACGACGACCCGGAAAGACCATTCACTCAGAAAGTCCTTCACCCAGACAATTAGGCCAGGGGATAAGCCGTACGCTGAAAGCTTGCCCAATAGACTAGCTTGCCAAACCCTGTCAAAAGCCTTCAAAACATCGAGGGAAACAGCAAGTGTTTCACCACTGTTCTCGAGGGCTTCGCCCCATATGTGAGTGGCATACGCTAGAAGTTCCCCAGTTGATCGATTTCGGCGAAACCCGTACTGGCGATCACTGAGGAGATCATTTTGCTCTAGGTATGCCATGAGATGGGCGTTCAATATACGCTCCATAGTCTTCCAGAGTATGGAGGTAATTGAAATTGGCCGATAGTTGGCAGGGTCGGTACGGCTACCTTTTTAGGCACAGGCTGCACACTGGCCAGCTTCCAAGATTTAGGCACTATTCCAGTCCTGAATGAGAGGCGGAACAAGCGTGTGAATACAGGAGACAACTCAGGTGCACAGACCTTTAGAACTATAGCTGGTATACCATCAGGTCCACTAGCTTTATTCACGTCTAGATTTCACAAGGTTTTAAGAACCTCCTTGTTCGTGATACGGACCTCAGAAATAGAGGTACCGCAGTGAGGTAATTGAGATGGTACACTGTTGCTACTGTCCAGACGCGAATTGCAAGCAAAAAGAGAAGCAAATAAGTCCGCTTTCTCCTTAGGCGCATGCGCCAGTGAGCCATCTGGTTTTACCAGCGGAGGCAGTGTAGACCGACAGAAGTTTGTCTCGACCGCTTTGGCGAGAGACCAAAAAGCTCTACTGCCAGATGGTTTGACAGAGAGCTTTGTGCCGATGCGTTTAATGCGGTCGAAACTGGCTTGGCGTAATGCCTTTTTGCACGACTTGGCGGCTTGGTTAAAGGCTCTCTTCTTAAGGCTAACATCCTAAGCTTCACGGTCTCGAGTATCGACCCAGGATAAGTACGCCATATGCTTGTGCTTTTCAGCACGAGCGCACTCGGCGTCAAACCAAGGGCGAGCTTTACCACTAATGGGCACGTCAGCAAAGGGGATGAAATACTCCATCGCTTGACGTATCACATTGGTTATGGCATCCGCGCAGCTCGATGGGTCTCCAGAGGAGAAGCAGACCTGCCGCCAAGGATAAGATGCAAAAAAATGTCGCATCTCATCCCAATCTGCTGACTTGTATCGCCACATTCGTCGCACTCCGTGGAAATCGTAGTTAGGTGGGGAATATAATAACAACACAGATTTCACCAGACAGTGGTCAGAAGTTCCCAAGGGTGAGGTAACCTGAACATCGTACCTGTCTGGATCGGTCGTCAGCAGAAGGTCGAGGCAGTTGGCTGTGTGCCCATCCACATCAGGTACCCTAGTCGCTTGTTGTACCAGCTGGGAGAGCCCCAGCGACAAGGCAAAATTCCACACCTCTCTCCCAGCGTGGTCGGTTTTCTGGTATGGGAACAGCCAGTCCTGATGACAGCCATTAAAGTCCCCCAGAAAATCCAACTGTGCATTAGGGTACCGATTTAGAGCCACATCAGAGGCTTCACTGAGGTGTTCAAACAGCTTAGTTGTCTCCTCGTCGCCGCTGTGCGATCGGTAGACACAAGAATAAATAATTTTATCCAATCCTGTGTCTATCAATACCCAGATCGTAGAGAGAGTGGGGTTTTCAAGGTGACGGAGACGCTTACAGCAGATGTCGATGCGGACGTAAACACAGACTCCGGCACGCTGATGGAAATTGTGCTCCAATGTGTACCCAGGGTAGCCAAGGTACGCCGCATCTAGAGGACATCTGATCTGCATCTCAGTCAAGAAGAGTAAGTGCGGCTTGTCAGTCTCAAGGTGGTAATGGACTGCATTGAGATTACAGTGCAGGCCTCGGATGTTTGTGAGGTGCACGTTAATGGAGAGGGAGTGCAACCGCTGTACAAACTTACTCTTCTTTGTCCTTTTTTTTCATTAATGGTGGGAGTGAATAGGTTGAGAGAATGGCAGTTGGACGAGGCGTCACACATATAACCTAGGGACACAAACAGAGTCATAGCATCGATGGTACCTAGCATGGAGATAGCGGTGACGCCCGAACCCCCCTGGAAATCGCCACCAGGCCCTCTGCTCCGGTTGCCAACCGGCATGGTGAAGCCATCCCAGGATCATGAGTGGCTGGCGCATTAATTGGGCCCCCAACTATCTACGGTCGGCCAGCGTGCTTTGAATCCCACTAACCTCCATAACCAGGCACCTGACACTAAGAAACGGCCGCGTCGCAACCGGTCCGTATGCGTAACGCAACTGTCCAGACCCATTCCCCCTAAGAAATGGGTTTCACCTAACATCATACTGGAACACGATTTGCACCATTTGGCGGTATGTCTTTGCCAGGTGGGTGGTAACTAACCCTCGGCCGGGCCTCTCACTAGTAGAGGACCAACCTACCACGAGTATGTAGTACTGCTCATTTATTTTGAAGTTAAATTTAGAAATAGTTGGTCTCCCTGAGGATAAATGCGAGAACCTAACAAATATAATCATAGCCTTGGGGAACCAATTTGGAGTCCCGTTGCAGCATAACGATATTATTCATGCAAACAGAGTAACACCAAAAACAAAAATCCAAGGCAGACCCAGAGTCATTAGTGGCAAAATTAAGTTCAAGATTGCTGAAAGACAATCTGATATCCGCATCGCGCAAACGCCGCATTACCACAACTGATATCAACCTAAAAGGCAATTGTAGACCTATTTATATAAACGAACCCAGGGGATACGTGTAGGGAATCAGGATTCAAGTAATTCCTACGGACGCGAGCAGCTTCATCCCCCAAAGTGTATGGCCTACAAATAATTGTTCCGGGTCTGAATGTTTGTCCTTGTGAAATTTATGTATGTAAAATGCCCCTACTATACAGGAGAAAATCCTAGTGTGAAGATAATTTAAAAAAAAAAGAAAAAAGTTGCAACTTCAAAATAACTTCGACAATGTCACTGCCTCTTCTTTTTTACACCTTTACTGCGGAGTACACTGGCATAAGAATTATATGCAATCATTAAATAAATAGCAGAAGCTGCAATAACTTTACATCGTCCATGCTGTTCTAATCCTCAACAAAACTAACATGTGCTTAGCTCCACAAACACTTGTGAACATTGGCAGTTGGCATTGGTCTCTCTCAAACTTGACCAACGTGTAGACTGTAACACTCGCCTTGTATCAATTTGCCTATGCTCGCATTGGCTGAGGCTTGGCCAACATGTATTGCCGGGGTAAGAAGTTACTAGTAAGAACTAAAAAATTCCACATACAGCTTCAGAATTTGGTGTTAAGATGTAGTGTGTCAAAGAATTAAAGCAGACTTGAGAAGATGTGATGTAGAAATTATTTTATTCATGAAATCAGCATGTACTTTTTTTTGAAAGTTTAAAAGAAATTTATTTGAACTATTTAAATAGACTAAGGAAATCACTAATGTCATCTACGTTTGTATGTGTTATGATAATGTGTGATATATTTCATCAGGCGTGGGACGGACCCGCGGTCGTAAGGGCATGGCGGCGCCTGTACACAGGTTTACAGCTGTTGACTGTCCCCCGCGACGACCTCATCGGCCTGTTCGACATTATGCGTTAGTATTATTAAAACTACGAAAATTAAATGAGGATAGCATAAGATAATCCATTACCTCATTTGCCGTTTAGGGTTATAATGTGGAAACTTCTACACTACTAACAAATGTAGAATATTATATCCAATATTAAGGGCATGGTAATGCAGTGGTATAGTGTTTGGTTGCAGTCTTTTGGGTCGCAGAGTATAATAATAATAATAATAAATGCTGACGTATCAGTTAAGTGACAAAACTGCTACGTCGGCGCAGTCAGTCAGCACCTTGCCAAACGGTGTTAGCGCTGTGCCTCGGCAAAATTGAGGGTGCAAAGGCCCGTTTATGCATATGGCTCCATCATAAGACGGCGCCGGGTCTGGGCGTCTCCCGTTAACCGACGCCCATAAAATGGATGATGGCACAAAGAGAAACGCGCATAGGGCCGCTGCCTGGGGGTCGCCGACGCGACGCGATAGAATGCAGGCCGCCAGCTGAGCGCGAGGTGCTGTACGACCACCTAGCAGCCCTTCGCATCCATCATCCCCACCAGATGGCTTGGTATCGGCAGGGTCCTCTCGGTCCCGGCAAGCGGCACCCGCCGCTGGTGGAGTACGTCGCATGCGTTGGAATAAAAACATGAACACAAACGCATTGCGGGCGTACTATAGGGTGAAAGGGGAAGAAACTGGAGGGATAGCGTATCGGGCTCGGATGCATCGCTGTTTTGCTAAGCTGGAACCGTCTGTTCCCATTACAGAGCAAAACCTGGCAGACCAAGTTCGGTACATCATGCGCTCGAAAATATTTGATGATGCTGAACTCGAAGCCGAACTGGAACGATTACGACGTGAGGCTATTCCCTCATCGAATGAACCGGCTATAGCTGGGGATGCGGCTCCTTAGGCCACAGATCAGTAGCCACATGTAGAGGCCGCCATGGATCTTCCCGCTCTGGTTGATTCAGGCGATGATGGAATGGTCACCCAAGAACTAGAGCAGATGAGGAGTAAATTGGAGGAGGCCATTGTGGAAACGTGCAGTACGCCTCTCGAAAATCGACCGCGATTCCCGCGCATACCCCTAAGCAAGCGGAATCGGGCTGTCGTGAGGGCTTTTAACCCAATGCTGGTGACCTATTTGGAAACCAGCCGGGACCTTTGCGAGACGGACTCAATTCTTTTTGGTGCCGCACTGGCAATTTGCCGTATTACTGGCGCCAAAGTTCCCACGGCTGGACGCGCTACTAGACAAAGTAGCGCCATCCCAGCCTGGAGAAGAAGGATTGAGGACCGTATCGCAAAGGAAAGGGCCCTCATCGGCAGACTAATAAGCTTCAGGTCGGGCAATAATAGGCCGAGAATTGTGCGCGGTTGGCGTTTGCTGGGACAAATATCAGTTTGTCCCAGCCGGATATAACGCAAAAACTGACGGAGTGCATAGACGACCTGAAGCAGAGATTCGCTGCTTGGGGGAAGCGAATTCTGCGATATACCGAGAGGTCAGGACAGAGTGATCAGAAAAGGCTCTATGAATCATTGGAGCGACCAATGGTACGTGGAACGGGTCCAGCACCGAATCAGGCCGACACTATCGCATTCTGGCGCGGCCTGTGGCCAGAGCCCGTAAACCACAGCGAGGGCCCTTGGACGGAAGTTGTGGTGAGTCAGGGTGCGAATGTTACGCCCATGGAGCCCGTTATCATAACGCTGGATGACGTAGCTGAGGCGGTCCGTAGGGCCCCGAACTGGAAAAGTCCGGGACTTGACGGACTGCATCACTACTGGCTGAAGGGGTTCGTGGTGTGTCACGCTGTGCTCGCCCGACAGTTTTAAGAGGCTCTCGACGAAAAGTCGCTCCCGAGCCTCTTTACTACTGGGATCACTCATTTGGTTCCTAAAGACCGGGATTCCACAGACCCGAGCAAATACCGCCCCATAACGTGTCTACCTACCATATATGAGGTACTAACATCCATTTTGAGCGCGAGAATCACTCGTCACCTGAACTCAAATCAGGTGATGTCGCGGGCTCAAAATGGATGTCGGGGCGGTAGTCGTGGAACCAAGGAACCACTCATTGACGCGGTCATTGGCAAGGTGGTTAAACGCAACCGTCGGAACCTCTCCGCCGCCTGGATAGACTAAAAAAAGGCATTCGACTCGGTGCCTCATACATGGCTGGCTTAAGAGGGTCCTCGAGCTGTACAAGGTTGACTGTACAGTTCGAGACTTCTTCGGGCAGTGTATGGGGCAGTGGAGTACGATCCTTTATCATCTAGGCGAGCGGATGACGGCTGCGGAGAACCACATAAGGATAAGAAAGGGTATCTTCCAGGGCGATTGTTTGAGTCCAATCTGGTTATGCCTCTCTCCGAACCCTCTCAGTACCTTACTGGAGGGTTCCGGGAGGGGATTTCAGCTTCGGAAAGGAGGTACAAAAGTGACCCACCTTTTCTATATGGATGATCTCAAGTTATTCGCCTCCAGTCGCTCCCATCTTACGGCATTGCTAAACATCTCTTATGATTTTAGCAATTCTATTAGAATGGAGCTGGGGACGGATAAGTGTGCGATCCTCCATGTCGAAAGGGGAAGGGATGCTAACTCTGAGGGCATACACTTATCTATGCCCATCAGCATAAGGAACCTTTCCGAGGCTGAAACATACCGATACCTGGGTATGTCACAGAACATCGGTGTCGATGAGGCGGGTATGAAGCAGTCAGTTAGCGATGTGTTTTATGCACGCTTGACAAAAGTGCTTAACAGTCTTTTGTCGGGCGTTAATAAAACACACGCATATAACGGTTGGATCATGCCTGTTCTCATGTATACATTTGGCATACTCAGGTGGACTCAGACCGAACTGAACGCTCTGGATAGAAAAGTCCGCACTATTATGACGTCCCACAGGATGCATCATCCGAGATTGTCGGTAATGAGGCTGTACTTGCCGCGGAAACATGGTGGGCACGGCTTTTTAAGCGCGCTTACCATGCATAATCGCGAAGTGTGCAGCCTCCGTAATTACTTCCTGACGGAATCGGATGATCCATTCTATAGGGACGTCATTTCGTGTGATAAAGAGCTAACCCCTCTATCCTTAGCCAACGTGCAATGGCAAGATCCAGCAGTACAGGGCATTACCGGCCGGGAGACCGTATGGAAGGAGAAAGAGCAGCACGGGAGGTTCTACAAGGCTCTTCATGAGCGTTTCGTAGACACAGTTGCCTCTCTCCACTGGCTACGTTTTGGTGACCCCTTCGGGGAAACCAAGGGTTTTGTCTGTGTAATACAGGATCAGGTTTTTAAGACCAACAACTATAGGAGATATATCCTAAGGGATGGCACCGTCGACATCTGTCGAGCTTGTCGCCATCCCGGTGAGTTATCAGGCATGTCATCTCCGGTTGTGCGGCGCTTTCTAACTCTGAGTACTTGCACAGGCACAACCTAGTAGCCAGGATTCTACACCAAGACCTCGCTCTGAAATACGGTCTCGTGGTTCGGAAACTGCCTTATTATAAGTACTTGCCGGAAGCCGTGCTCGAAAATGACCGCGCTAGGCTCTACTGTCATCCCATTTTCACAAAGAATGGGTGAAAACTTCGTCTTTATGCAAGACAATGCTCGCCCACATACCTCGCGAGCAACCCAGAGCTAATAAACGCCCTAAAATTGTGTTGGGGGCGAATACCCGAGGAAAACATCACCCACTTGATTGAAAGTGTCACAGATAGATTCAGAGAGTGCATACGGAACAGAGGAGGACCTACTCGCTACTTGTGTGTGTGTGTGCGTGTGCGTATGCGTGTGCGTGTGCGTGTGTGTGTGTGTGTGTGTGTGTGCGAGCGCGCGTGCGTGCGTGCGTGCGTGCGTGCGGGCGTGCGTGCGTGCGTGTATGCTTGTGCGGCTTTCGGCTGCACCCATTTTAGGTTTTTACACTCCTTGTACGTTTTGTCGTATATGTTTATTCGCCCGCGTGTTATTTGGGGTTTTAATTTTTTTGCGCGGAACCCTAATTCTTTTTCTAAAGTAAAAGTAGCCTAAGTTACTCCTTGTGACATCAGCTATCCGCCAGTGAAAATCCCGTCAAAATCGGTCCAGCCGTTTCGGAGATTAGCCGGAAAAAACAGACAGACAGACAAAAACTTTAAAAATTGTATTTTTGTTATTTGTATAGCATATACTTTCGTATGTATTTAGTAAAAAGCTGTAATTTTGACATTACAAACAGACACTTCAATTTTATTTATTTGTATAGATATAGGAATGCAGAACGTGAGCTAAATTGCCCACTAGCAAACTCTGTTTTGGTGCCAGAAGACGCAGCCACAACATCTATTCGCCGCTTTTTCAAGTATAGTTTGCTTCATACAGAAGATATTTTTAACTGTGTAGTGGTGGTGTGGGAATATCCACTATCCCATATTGTCCCATGTATCTTGAGGCATCAAAGGGAAAGTGAAACAGATGATGGACAGCAGCATCTTCCTTATAAGAACTAAAAATTAAAAAAAATTGTAGTTGCCAACCCGCCAAGCGTGATAAGTATAACAAAACCTATGAGGCACTCTATAGAGTGGCCTACGTTCAGCATTCAATTTTTATAGGCTGTAACAGAGTTGATAGATGGGGGAAATTGGCCATAGATGCCACACTTGGCAGACAGGTACAGTTTTTTTTTTAATTATTTTAAGTTGTTATTCATAAAATGCTTGTGCCCATCTCCAGTTATATTTCCCTTTGTTGCTACTTACGACTGCCATGAGATGATATGAACAACCAATTAGCTATTTCTTTTTCTTTATAACACTAAATCTTTTCTTATAGAATAGTTTTCTAGCATGTGATATATCATTTAATCTTTCAGACCTCCATCAATACCAGCAGTTCACGGAAGTCGAAGGCAAAATGAGGAACCCAGTCTCTATGTTGAAATCTCACCTGAACCTCCTCAGCCCACGATCGCCAGTTTGGCGGCGGCGAGAAGCGTGACGCCTGACACGTTATTGCGTACTGCAGCGTTGGGGCTTAACCATTCGCCCATGATGGCTCCACATCTTAAGTTTGGCATGCTTGTATCATTCGCCCTTGCAACTGTATTCTTGGCAGGTGCCAAATATTATTTTGATAGACAGGTATAGTTATTTTTCATTTATGTTTAAGTTGATATTTATTATTATGTAAATATATCACATTACGATCCTGTAATTACATAAAAACCACAATGTATTTTGCTAGAATTATTATCATAGTTTGTACAGTAAATAAATGCTCATAAAAGTTATATAAGAATGGTCTCAGCATTAAGCCATGTGGCAAATGGTCTAACCCTTATAGATGTTTATAAAAGTTATATAAGAATGGTCTAAGTGTTGAGCCTTGTAGTAAACCAGGCATGCCACACTAAAAAGTTATTTTAACTTTGCCTTTTCACATTTATAATTTACTAGCTGATACCCGCGACTTCGTCCGCGTTGTTTGATATATTAAGAAAGTTTTTGTATGTGCAAAGGAAAAAACATCAAAAATACAAAATTTCTTTGTAAACAATGTTATTCGTTGCTCCGTTTGTAGCTAAAATATATAAATTATCTGGGTTGGATCAAGCCACGTACAGATGTCTTTGTGAAAAACCCTGTATAAAAATCGTTGTTTCTTAAAACTTTAATACTATATATTAAAAGAACACCGACTATATAGCGGTATAAAACAAGGCGCCAGGGGGCGCCCAGCGGCAATCTTCTTTTAAAAGGTCTTTCCATTGTACCAGATATTAGCAAGTCATTATATCATTTTTACCAGCGACCGTATTTCATTTTATTGTATTTTGTTACGTCCATTTGTAAACAGATGTCGCTCTAATTTTTTTTAGATAAGGGTCAAGTGTCTAAGGTATATAACTTACAAAACCTAATCTAAAAATCTATCCAGTAGTTTTGCTGTGATGCGCGCACAACTGCAAACCTCTATCATTTTATTTATATAAATAATTTTTTTTGTGGGCCAAGTGTCTAAGATATAAAACTTAGAAAACCTAATTAAAATTTATCCAGTAGTTTTTCCGTGATGCTATTTATTGATTCATGTCAGTCATGTGATCCACAAATGTTAAATATGTAGTTGTGGTGTATCACTTGATTTTTGATACCCTTACCTGATGTCATGTAATGCCACCCACTGTAAGGCTATTGATCAAATTTATTTATTAAAAATCACAGTATTGATAGATGTGTTACTATTTTAGGGAACTAAAATGGTTTGTAAATCGTAATTTAGTCTGCTTTATCAGCTTGTTTGTTGTTCAGCAATGAACATGTGTACCAAAGCAAAATTAGGAAAGGACTTACTGTTGTTACTTTGCCTTGCTAGGCAGATGGATTGGCGATAGCAAACTCACATGCTATATGTGTGAGTTGTATGAGCTTGTGCAGGAATTTCTTGATATAATTCCTCTTTTTTTGCCACTATTGAACAATGACACATTAGTTATTTTACTGGTGATACTTTGGAGTATGTCAGTTACTCTGATTCTACTGTGAATGTCTTCATTTCAATGTCTTTCTGTAATGTAGTAATATATTAATGGTTGTCTTAAGTGGGTAGTTAAGCGAGTTTCATATGTGGTACACCACCCACACTGCAGCTATATTATGGTTGTAGCATGAATGGGTGGCTTGACCGGGGTAGGACTACACTTTCACAGAATACAAGTGAATAGCAGCTTAATGCTGCTGTGTTTGTTATGGTAACTGTAGAGAATTGGATACCCTTTTCACTGGAAATGAGGCATTCAATCTTATTTCTCAGGGGTGACAATGCGTCTGCATTTTGAATTTCAGAATTGACCACGGCATCCACTTACCATCCGGTTAACTGTGAGCTTGCATGGCAGCGACCCTTATTCTGTTTAAAAAATAGCGAGGGTGTGTCATCCGCAGGTGGTGCGCACGGGCATGAGCCGCGAGGCGGGCGTGGTGTGCGCGGCCGTGGCGTGCGTGTGCGGCGTGAGCTGCGCGCTGTCGCTGTGCCGCACGCGCGCCGCGCCGCCCCCCGCGCCGCCGCACCGCGTGTCCTCCACCGCGCAGCGCCACGCGCACCAGGTCAGTGTAAATCATCTTGGATTTGACGAGGAGGATTCCACGACATGGCCAAGATGATTTCCAGGCAAAGGTAATTGACCATAGAGCCTTATAACCAAAGACTACATTTCTACTGTTTACATAATATATGTTAATTTTGATTACATTTTATCGCAGTTCATAAGTCAATACAATTCATCATTTATGATTAGGATTAATTTTTTACTTGAATTTGTTTAATTATTTTTAATTAATTTGTAATATAAGAGTTTTATTTTACTCATTCTTTTATTGTAATAGAAATATGTTCGACAATTGCTCGGTTATATCAGACACCGACAAAATAACAATGCTATGGCTGTGACAACACTGCTACCGCATCATGCTGAATCGGACGCCTTTTCGTAGTAGCAACCCAATTTATTTGTGTACATTGTTTTTTGTTTGTTTGCTTTTTAGTTGTAATTTATTTATATAATACATTGTGTTATGTATAATGAATAAATCATTCATTCATACATGTGCCTCACCTGTTATTAGATATTATCCTTATCATCACCCAATTGTATGACGATAGTACGATCGTCAAGAAATAGTGACAGATTCTCTTACAGCACCTCATAGCGCCTGGCATAACTCGCTATGTGTCAGGTGTCACATAACCGCACACTCGAAACAGTGGTAGAACCACGCGGCAGCTTTTGCTGTCGCACGGATGGGCCGGCTCGAACCGGGGTGGTACCACGATCTCACATAATACCAGCGTGAAGTAAAGGTTTACCTCTGCGTTGCGCTTGGTGAATGCAGATGGCCGGAGGCCCAATTCCCTCCCCCCCACCATCAACATGGTTGTGGAATTAAATAAAAGACTACCCCAGGAGGGTACCAGCACAACTGGAGAATCCCTCGCTGAGCATCCACGACCAAACGACTCCACTCCTGAGCATGGGTGCCTACGGGTGCCTCTATTGATCCCATAGCGGTAATGCCGACACAGACGGCTCGTCGATCACGTCCAAATGGCTGCAGACTCCGTGCTACAACAGGTCCCATCCGCAGAGACCGTGATACTCGGTGATTTTAACGCCCACCACGCTGAATGGCTATATGACTTTGGCTTGGCATATGGTCTTACACAACTGGTTACTTCGCCTACGCGAATCCCAAATGTGGAGGATCATGTACTTTCCCTGTTGGACCTTCTGCTGACCTCTCATCCGGACGGATATCAGGTCTCCCTCGATGCCCCTCTGGGCTCTTCGGACCATTGTCTGATCCGGAGTACGGTGCCACTCACGCTCCCATCGCAGTTGCGATCTGCAGCTTGCCGCCGTGTTTGGCACTATAGGTCAGCCGACTGGGACGGGATGCGGTCTTTTTTTGCATCCTACCCTTGGAGGTGGGTTTGCTTCTCGCCGGAAGATCCAAGCGTTGTTGCCGATTCTGTTACTGATGTGGTACTTCAGGGTATGGAACTTTTTATTCCATCCCCTCGGAGGCAGATCCAGCCATGGCTTGGTCGCTCCTGTAAAATAGCATCACGCTATAAGCAGGAGCGCTTCCGGGCCTGGGCTGATGCCTCAACGTCTCGGGATGTAAACTACAGCGCTCTTAAAAAGAAGTATAATTTCACCTCCAGGTCCTACAAAAGCGTCATTGTAAAGGCAAGGTCTGAGCACATCGGCAGAATTGGCGAGAAGCTAGTTCGCCTTCCTTCGGCAACCCGTGCATTCTGGTCTCTCGCCAAGGCTGTCCAAGGGAACTTCTGTCAGCCATCTCTTCCATCTCTGCACAGAGAGGATGACTCACTGGCCCGTGCCGTAAAGGAGAAAGCCGATCTGTTAAGTGAAAGTAAAATCGAAATGCAGATGCATTGTCACTGCATTGTCACGGGTGACAATGCATCTGCATTTCGATTCTTTAATGAGGATAGATGTAGATGTCTATGGGTCACAGTAACTACTTACCATCAGGTGGACTGTGTGCTCGTTTGTCACCCTATCCTATAAAAAAAGCTCTCTCTTTGCGTCCAATTCGACTCTAAATGACGGGGGGAACACACCACCGACCATGCCGCGGTGTGAGTGCTCCAAGCCGGGTGTGCGGATTACACAGCGCTCAGTTCGCAAAGCACTCCTCTCCCTGGACGTCAGCAAGTCGAGTCGGCCTGATGGAGTCCCTCCCATTGTGCTGAAGACGTGTGCTCTGGAGTTGGCACCGGTTTTAACGCGTCTTTTCCGGTACTCCTACTCCCAAGGCGAAGTCCCGAATTCATGGAAGACAGCTTTTGTCCACCGGACCCCTAAAAAAGGCGACCGCTCAGACCCGTCCAACTACAGGCCTGTCGCCATCACCCCCTTCTTCTCCAAAATAATGGAATCCATTATAAACTGCCAGTTTATGAGGTACCTTGAGGATCACCAGCTGATTAGTGACCGCCAGTACGGTTTTCGTCGGGGTCGATCAGCTGGTGATCTTCTGGTCTACCTGACTCATAGATGGGCGGAGGCAGTAGAGTCCAAGGGGGAGACATTGGCAGCTAGTTTGGACATAGCGACGTAATTAGCCTAAGAAGTTCTTTTGGCGTACTCAGCAGAGCGAGACAGTATTTCACGGCGGCATATCACTTGCAACTTTACAAAGCGCAAGTTCGGCCTCACATGGAATACTGTTCTCATCTCTGGGCTGGGGCACACCAGTGCCAAATCCTTCCACTTGACCGCATCCAGCGCAGAGCGGTTCGAATCATCGACGACCGAGATCTTTCTGATCGGCTCGATACTTTCACTGCGTAGGGATGTGGCATCCCTTTGCATTTTCTATCGAATTTACCACGGGGAGTGCTCTGAGGAATTGTTCGGATTAATTCCAGCCGCAAAATTTCACGAACGCACATCGCGTAAAAATTCACGATACTATTCTCACCATCTGGATGCTTGGCGGTCCACGACTGTACGTTTTACTAGGAGTTTTCTTCCTCGTACAACTTCTCTGTGGAATTGTTTACCACCAGTGATTTTTCCGGACCGATACGACTTAGGGACCTTCAAGAAAAGAGCTTACAAAAGACCGACAACGCATCTGCAATTCCCCTGGTGTTGCGGTTGTTTATGGGCGGCGGTAGTCACTTACCATCAGGTGAGCCGCATGCTCGTTTGCCCCCTCTTCTATAAAAAAAATAACAGAACCACTCGCTACTCACTGTACCTCACACTCGTGTGAGTGTCAGGTTACATAAGGTACATAAATAACTTTTTTAAGTCACAGTACCATTATATAGATAACAGATACACATTAAGTCATATTAATTCCTTGAGTATTGTATTATAGCTTTTTTTTTAAGATCACATAACATCACAAAAGCACTACACCAACTCATAATACCGAACTTCAGACCAAATTTCACATTAAATCATAAACTCTTAAGTTTTATTAATTTAAAATTCACAGTACATCATAATCACTTTATATAATTTTTATACCACAGTTAATTATTATCATACATCATACAAAATCACAATACCTTGCATTAACGCCACAGAACAGATAATAGTACAAGTACAGAAGGATCACTCTCTGATAGCAAACTTGGGAAAAAGCAACCTAGTTACAAGGTCGCTAATGTTCATAATACTTTGCACGCCTTGGATGCCACCTTGGTTAAAATAGCTTACCGATTGTTGCGGCGCGCGTATTAAATCAAAACACACCTTAGTCCGCATGCGAGAGTCTGTATCACTTAGCCCCGTTACTCGCCTTTGTTAAGGGCGCTGCTACTGTAGAGTACTTTGACATTAGTTGGTAGTAGAATACACTGAGGTGTTATGCAATGTATTAGTAATGTGATAGGCTAAAGGTATTACCTACTATATCTACTTATACTTTATTACTACCACGTGCTGTGGGTAGAGTAGATAGCATCACTCCATGTCTGCCTGTGAGATTCGTAAAATGCGACTAAGGAAATCCAAAGAAGTACTGATTGTCTAGTACTCCGTCCACCAATCCGGATTGGGACGCATGGTGAACTACTGCTCAAAACCCCTCCGTATAAGAGGAGCCCTGTATACCAGCAGCGGGTCAATATTTAGGTTGATGATGATGATGATGACGATGTTACGTTATTTTTAATTAAAATTGACAATAGTTTTAGATTGCTTAAGTATATATTTTGTATATGAAAAAATGTTACATGTAACATTATAACATATAAAAAATCGAATGCTGCGAAGCTGTGGTCGGGTAGCTAATCAAATAATAAATCTGTAACTATGTCATCAGTAACTAGGTACTTAATAATGCGCGGAGTGAGACAGGCGTTTTAACGCATATATATCACTAACTTATATAAAATACATAAAATAACCTAACAATCGAGGAAGTCCGCTAATTAATTATTTTCAATTCAGATGTCTGAGGTAGCAGACGAGCTACCAGCACTTCTGCCAGTATCAGAGCGATCAGAACGGCGTATGGAACGATTAACCACGGAAACAGTGGAAAGTGGGTTGGAACGAGAAGTGGATAGAGGGGAGCGAGGGGTGGAAGGCGGAAGCGGCGAAGGTCCTCCCCCGCCTTACCACATCGCGGTGCTGCTGCCGAGCCGCGCCGCCGCGCCCCCGCCCGCCTACAGTGCGATCAGCTAGCCCGATGAGTTCATCATCTAGCTCGGCGAGCCAGCCGAGTTCATCATCTAGCTCGGCGAGCCAGCCGAGTTCATCATCTAGCTTGGCGAGCCAGCCGAGTTCATCATCTAGCTTGGCGAGCCAGCCGAAATTATCATATAACCTGCACGCCTCGAGACGAATACATAGACGGTAAGTTAACAAATCACTTGACAGGTTTATGATTTAACGTGATAAACTTTTGAATTTCTGCTAATCCTTGATTTTGCCTGATAGCTTAGAAAGACTGGTGACTTTATGATATACTGGTTTTGTGAAATTTTATATGATTAGCTTTCGAGTTCGTTTAAATAAGCTAGATCAATGGATGTAATTAGCCTAAGTAGTTCTTTGAATAGGTCTTATAGCCTAGTTAATTTATTATGTACTTTATAAGCTCTGCATTTTGTACACTGAGCATAACTAAGCTAGCTCACTGGATGTAATTAGCCTACGAAGTTCTTTGAATAACTGTTATAGCTAGTTAATTTATTTTGTACCTTATAAGCTCTGAATTTTTTACACTGTTTTGCCAAAAAATTTAATATTTGCAAATGTAATCTCTCTTTCTATAAACCTTAATGATGCACAAACTTCGGGCGGCGGTTAGCTAAGATGATATACCACGATCTTTAACCCTTAAATGCATAGAATATTTATGATTATGAATTTAAAAATAAAAAAATTATGCATGATGCAGAAAAAGTTTCTTTATTATATAAAAAAATGTTAAAATAGTTGTAGTAATTTATTTTTTCATATAATATATTATATATCATGCGATGGATTTTTCCATCACTATGCACTTACAGTTAATATACATATAGGTAATTGCCATATTTGATATTAGGTAGTGTGAAACCTAGTAAAACAGTTATTATTTTTGTTTAGGCATAAATTTATGCCACATTTGGCACAGCTTATGGTGGTGTATCCTGTACAATGTGGATACTTACAACGAAGCGACACACCAACATCTGGCCAGTGCCCTAGACCATCCATCCGTATATCCAATGGAGGGATTGGTTTTGATTGTAACCTCTTCTTCTTAGCTTGCAACTCCTGCTCCAGGCTGGAAGAGCTAGGCCGACCTCTTTTATTTTCGTTTGTGCCTGAGTTACATAAAACATAGGCCAGATCGTTTCTGAACTCACCTAAGTTTAAAATGTTCTTTTTTGCAACCTTTTCTTTTATTGCATTATTTTTATATATAATCCAGGAGTTGATAACAGCCAGATCAAACAAATGGAAAAATATACGAATATACCATTTACGAGATTTTACTCTTATGTGATATCTACCCATGAAACTATCTAACAAGTCAACACCCCCCATATGACTGTTATATTCTGTAATGGACTTTGGACACAATATATCAACTCTTTCCCTCGTCTTTTTATCAAACCTTTTAACGGTTGAAACAGGCTCTGTTCCTACGTAACTTGATAACATAGTCACTATTTTATTGTCCTTCCATGCTATGCAAGCTAAATCAACTCCCTCATATGACGCTGTTCTTTCTTCATAAGTACCCCTAGGGGTATTTTTTTTCATCATCTCTTTTTTGTCTGGTAGCTTGTTATTAGGAATTCTGTTTTGTTGAATTGTGCCAAGGCAATGTATTCCTTGCTTAGCCAAATAGATAACTAATGGCACAGATGTATAGAAATTATCAAAGAAGATAATATGGTTGACCATTCGTGGAACATCTCTGGTTAAGCGAAGCACAATGTTATTTGTAGAACCTAAGTCAGGCTCACCTTCAGGTCTTGTCGAAATGTCTTGGCCAGAATAAATTTCAAATTTGTAGGCAAATCCAAAAACACTACATAAAACATACAACTTAAATCCCCACTTATGGGGCTTATTTGGTAGATATTGTTTTAGATAATGTCCCACTTTGGTGGCACACATTTGTTCATCAATTGATAGTCTTTGATGTTTTTTTACACTGGAAAAGGTTTGATTTAGACTATCAATAATTGGTCTCACCTTATATAAGCGGTCATGTCCTGGTTGGTTAACTGGTATATATTTGTCATTATCATTGAAATGGATATATTTTTTGATCTTTTCAAATGTATTCACATTCATAGTTTGCTTTATAGGTTCAAATCCAAAACGCCTTGACCAGTACTTGCGTGTGCTGGGGAAATGCTGAACAGACATGTAAAGCAGAATGCCTAAAAACTTTTTCAGGTCATAATGAGACAAATTAAATCTATTTTCAGGATTTAATTGGGTGGCATATAGATTAGTTTCTGATATTATTTTGTTACAAAGTTCAGTTGTAAAAAAGTAGTTAAAGCATTGATATGGTGTTTTTAGGGCTGTTATTTCAGTACCTAGATCAGTGCTTCCTTCAAATTCAACATTTGACTCAGAAAACTGAAGTGTACTCTTCTTCCAAATCAGCTTCCTCTTGTCTAATACCCAAGTCGAACAAGCAGAGTTTTCTCCTGCTTTAGATGCCACAGTTTCTTGAATCAGAGGGGGATCATGCACATCAACTTGTTCTTCATGTAAAGTAGGTTCATTTTCCAGATTATCATCATCCTCTACGTCTTGTAGCGGTTCATTTCTATTGGTGTAAAAGATACTTTCCTCATTATCTTCCGTATCAGACATTTCCATGCCATCTTCTGACAGATATCCTCCTTCCAGAGCAGACAAGTACTCTTCAATGTCTCTATCATTGATTATTCTTGATCTTGGAAAAGACATTTTTGCTGAAATATTACATAAAAATCATTATAAACTTGAGATAAACTATAAAAGAATAATTGTGCTGAAAAGTTAGGTTTCCATACATCGAGAACTACGACTAATGCATATTGATGGAAATTTCCATCATAAACAAAAAGACCCAGAATACAACTAAAAACTATGATTCTTCTAAAACAAATTGCCTAGGTATTGAAAACTTACCTTATTTTATGAAATAATAATTTTTTCAATAATTACTTGTTCGTATAAGTTCACAAACTAACAATCAGAAACACCACAAAACACAAGTAGTTATCGTTTCACTTGAACAGATGATTGACCATGACAGTTGACATTGACAGTTTTTTTTTCGTTCAAAAATGTTGCCTAAACATCGATGTTCATATACATGTCCGTAAATAAATTCATTCGGATCACAGACTAAAAATAAAGACAAAAATTCTTAACGATGGAAATTTCCATCACTATGAAATTAAGGGTTAACACTATAGAAAACTATAAAAGTAAATGAAATTAACGCTAAGTCACAAACTGCCACCTAATATAACGTTGAGATTTGTCATTCCCATTCATTTAGAAGTTTTAGATTGTAAGAATTCATCTTAGCTAACCCGCAGCTTTATAAAAAAGCCTAGTAATTAATAATTTTTAAATTATTATCAAAACTATTATTATTGCAGTCATTTTTTTATTTACATCTATTATTACATTGTTTGTTGCTAGTGTAACTTGTAACTTGTCTATATCGAGTCTTGCATTTATAATATGTAGTATTAGATATTTAAGTATTTCCATTCTGTCTCATATTGATCTTTTAATTGTAATTGATAAAATGTCTTATAATTTGTTATGAGTTAGATGTGGAAGTTGATTAGTGCCATATACAATTTTACTTAATCGAATGAGCCTAATGTTTAATGAACAAATAATATTCGGCCAAAAATTATTGACATTAGAGTAAAAAAAATCGTTTTATTTTGACAATAATATCACAATTTTCACTTTTAAAATCTGAAGACATTATATTCGTATAAATGTCGTAGTATATCCGTAGAATTGTGAAAATTGTAGTCTGACCGTGTATTTCATAATACGCCGCCATTTCATAATTTGGCCGATGATTTATACGCCATAGCACTAAATAAATGCCACCTCAGCCACACCTTAACCTGATATTATTAGATAGGTGCTTTCGTATTTTTAATACTAACAGAAATCAAAGTTATAAATATCGGCCGAATCATGAAATGGCAACGTATCATTAAATGTCTAGGCAGATTACCGTCTTACCAATTCTAACGATCAGACTACGATATATACACACACACACACACACATATATATATATATATATATATATATATATATATATATATATAAACAGCTTGGTAGTATCATATTAAACAAGATCAAAATTATCGGAGAATTAATAATTAGTGTCTTGTTAAAGATGGGACCCGGTATCATGCTAAAGTAATTGCGCAATAAAGTCCTCAGTTGCGGGACAATTAATATTTTACAATACTCCAAAGTTTATCATTCTAATGATTCACTAGATTAATGGTGATAATGAGTGGAGGCCATCTATGTAAATGCATATACTTTATGGTGCAATAGTATCTATTAGTGGTTTTAATAAAATTGACCAAAAGTATGACTATCAATACGAAATGTGCATGCAATAAAATGATCTCACATAATTGTTAAAAATAATGAAGGAGATTTCAGATATTATTATAATCAATCTAAGTAATGTTTTAATTAGTAATAATTGTTCATTCGAAGCCCTTTTATGGTGGCATCTAATAATGTCGTTCAGTGGTAGCCGCTAATGTACCTTTATAGTAATAAGACGCAGTGTTCAATGTTCTACATATTTTTGGTGTGTAGCGACATAGTTTTATATGTAATATTTAACTCAGGTGTATTGTAAACCCCAGAATTATTATACGAATGACATAGCCAGGAGAAGGAACGGTCATGATATATAAGGTTGAATTATTTAATATTTTAAGCTTTGTAGGGCTGCATCACTTTTATAATCTATAATATTCTAAAATATAAAAATAAATTAATTAATTACACAATCTCAATTAAAAACAAAGGTCACTTATCTAGTAGCCTATATCGAGTGACTAATTCAACCATTAATTCCAATCTATGACTTTAATGTTGCCAGTCTAAAATGAAACAAATAACAGTTTTTATTTATTGAAACATATTTTTGGTATTTTTATTTTTATATAAAATTCAAT